GTCTTCTAGGCAGTAGGTTCATGTTGGTGCTTAGTAGCACATAAAGCCGCTGTCTCCCAGACGGGGACCTGGTTTTGAGGACCTTACTGCTGGATCATGATTTCAAACCTTACCAGCGCCAGCTTTGTGAATTCAAGAAATCCTTGTCCTACATAAGGACCCGGAGGGACTTGGAATAGTCTCTTCTTCACCCTCCTCTCCCAGCGAGGCCCGTTCCCTGTGCCAAGGGCTCCCAGCCCTCACCTCGCAGCCGGGACCCACTCCTGCCTGGTAGTTTTCGCTCGTGGCAAACGGGAACTACACAGTTGTCCTGTGTGAATCTGTCCTCAGTTTTCAGGAGGACGCGAGAATCCTTGGGTTCACTGATGGAGTGTTTAGCGATCTGCATCATTCCTGTGGGCCTCCCTTTGGGAAGACTGACCCTTAAAAGGGCTCTGGGTGCTGCTTGGCAGGTGTTCCCCTCCGCCAATTGGCACGGACGGCTTTCTGCGCTTCCTTTTTGCTGGGACCACTCTCTACTGTGCTCCTGTTGGATTCGGTGGGGTTCGTTCAGCGTGAGGAGCAGGAAGCCCGTATATGGGGGCGACCGGCGCGATGTGTATATTCTGGGTCTGAGCCCTTCCGGCCCACAACCCCTTCCGTTGGTTAGATAACTTTCCTTCTCCACCGAACGGCTCCCCCTCGAAACAGTAGCCTCTCCAGGGAGATATTTGTGAACCCTAGCCCCGCGCAACGTCTGGCTCATCGTGAATATTCAGTAATTGGTCGTTGGATTGTTTCTCACTCAACGACATCATCGATCGAGTGCTGACTACGTGCGTGGCACTTTGCTGGAATCCGGTAATCCCAGAATAAGACACAGCCCCTGCCCATAAAGAGTTGATAGTCTAAGAGAAGAGGCATCTGCATACTCCTCCCGTCTATCTCAGTGCCAGAAATCTAGAGGCCGCTTGGTGCCTTCTGAGTTGAGGATTGCAGGATGATAGAGCTGGAGTGTCTTCGGGATTTCAGGGTCCCTCCCTCTCATTTGAGAAATGAAGAGACTGATGGGTGAGAGGCTTGCGTTCATGGCCACACAGTGAGGCGAAGCAGAGAGAGAATTGTCCACAGTCCTTGTTTTTGGCTCTTTGGGGCACCCCATGTGGCTTGCTTTTGCCCTTTAACTAGAAAGAGCAAATCCTGAAAAGCGGAAGGCGGTACCAGAACACGCGGGAGCACACTCTCACCGAACGTCTGCTGATGCTCCGTGCCCCAAATCCTGCAAGTGCTCGGAAGCTTCGGACAGTGGTTCTCACACTCGGACTGCAGAGTGAGCTGTTCAAAGGCAGCCAGGGCTCAGCTGCCTGCGAGCGCCCACTGGGGACATCTTTCTAGAGAGTCCAGAACTCTCAAGATGAAGGCTCATCAGTTTTGACCTTACGGCTCTGTTCAGCTGAGGTGCTGAATGGTTTTCAGGATAAGGTGTATGAGGGATTCTAGTTCATAAAACCACAGAGAAGGGCTTTCCGGGGCGACTGGCTGGCTCAGTCGGTTAAGCCTCTGGCTTCGGCTCAGGTCATGATCTCATGGCTCGTGAGTTCAAGCCCCGCGTCGGGCTCTGTGCTGACAGCTCGGAGCCTGGGGCCTGCTTCAGATTCTGTGTCTCCCTCTCTTTCTGCCCCCCACTCGTTCACGCTCTTATCTCAAAAATAAATAAACACACACACACACACACAAAAAGTGGGGCTTTCCATTCTGCTAAAATATGGCCAGGACCTTGTCTGACTCCTATTCAAACAAACTAAATGTAAAAAGACATTTAGGAGGTGATTAGGGAAACATAAATGTGGATGTGACATTCAGTGATATTAGAGAATGATAGTGAATGTTAGGTATGATAATAGCACAGTGATTGTGTTAAAGACAAAAACAGTCATTAGCGATGCATACTGGTGTCTGGGTTGTTTTTAAAATATTGGCGGGGGGCGGGGGGTGGCCCCGTCGGTTAAGTATCTGACTTAAGCTCAGGTCATGATCTCACGGTTTGTGGGTTTGAACCCCACGTTGGGATCCGTGCTGACAGGGTGGAGCTGGGAGCCTGCTTCCGATTCTGTGTCTCCGTCTCTCTCTCTCTCTGCCCCTCCCCTGCTTGTGTGCTCTCTCTCTCTCTCTCTCTCTCTCTCAAAAATAGATGGGCAAACATTTAAAGTAGAACAAAATAAAATAATATTCCAGCGGGGGAGAAAGCCAGGGAATAGACCAATGGTTTGACAAAACATTGACCATGGTTAATCGTTGAAGGGGTCGGGGGTGGGGTTGTCATACAATACCCTCTGCTCTTGTATGTGTCTGGAAAATTCCAGAATAAACAGTCTTCTTTAAAAATAGGGCCTGGGTGTCTACCCTTGCCCTCCCTACTTACAGCGAAACCCCTTCCTGACAGAACGGAGGCTGGCACTGCGTGGCTGACCGGATCGGGATGAGGGTACGGAGGCCCCAGAGTAATTGGCCTGACTTCCTAGTTACTTATCTCAGAGGATACCCAGAAGGACTGGAACGCTTCCTCTTGAGCACATCTGTCTTTGTGATGTCACCGATGCCCAGCTCACCCGTGTCTCTGGAAACGGCTGCCAGGTGGACACAAGTGTCATCTCTGGTTCCATTTCTGCCACAGGCTGGCCCCTCAGACTACCCCAGAGAGGCCCATCCTGAGGCAGATTCTCTCGCTCAGCCGTCACGAAATGCATTACCAACGCTGTGCCACAGAACTTATCTCTTCAGCGCATTGCGATACATATATCTGATTCCTTACTCGCCCCTCGGTCCGTATCTGGCCCTTTCCTCTCCCGCACACCCCCAACCGTGACCCTGTCGCTACTTCTGCCCGCCGATAGTTCTACGGAAGGATCTGCAGTCACACACAGCCTGTACAATGTAGGGATGTCACTCTTCCTAGTTCATTTCCCTTTGTTCTCTCTCACGTGACTCGTTCACGAAGCTTTTGTACCTGGACCTGCTCTTGACCCGAAGTCTCCATTCTGGGCTTCCTATGGCCATGCCCTTTAGTATAGATGAAGACCCCTTAGGTTCACGGAGATTTGCTTGCCTGGAGCCCGTGTCCTCCCAGGTATCCCCTCGCCGCTCCCGACAAAAATGCTACATTGGAGACCCAAATGACTGAGAACCCATTTCTTGGGTTTCTTCCTCATGTCTGGCCTCCTGAGGACAGATACTTCTAACCCTGAGGATGACCAAGGTGCAGCTATTCATGGAGGTACAGACAGAGCTTTGACATACTCCTGGGGTGTCCATCCACGTGCATGTGGGGCCCCTCTTGGTACCCAAAGAAGCCAGGGGCAGAGTGTAATGTGGATGGGGGCACACCACAGGTAGAGAGGAATCCGGGGTTGTTGGCTGCTATCTCCTGCACAGAACGCCAAGCAGCTTGAGAAATCTAAGCAGGCCGTTATGAAGGGATATTTGTCAAGTAGGAGGGTAAGACCTATTTAATTGACCAGTTTGTTCACTTGATTTACTACTTTCAAACATTTAGACAGGGGGTATCTGGACCTCCCTTTTTTTGTTTTTTCCTACATCCAACATGGGGTTCGAACTCACAACCCCAAGATCAAGAATCACAGGCTCTACCCACTGAGCCAGCCAGGCTTCCCCAGGCTTCCCTTTCTACTCTTCACATTTTAGGTATCAGTATCTTAACTGAGACTCAGGAATTTTGCTCCTGGGCTGGACTTCATCTCACCATAAGGTAGGCTTAGGTTCTCCATGGCATTTCCCACAGCTTGTAAAACACAACCTATGAAGTCCTTTTGTGGCACACTTATTTCCTGTGTTTATAATGGAGATGAAATCATGGTTTTCCCACCACCCCTCTTCCAGCTCCCAACAAGCCTCAATTATATAAGCCGACAAGCCCATTTAAAATAGCCTTAAAGTGGGGCGCCTGGGTGGCGCAGTCGGTTGAGCGTCCGACTTCGGCCAGGTCACGATCTCGCGGTCCGGGAGTTCGAGCCCCGCGTCGGGCTCTGGGCTGATGGCTCAGAGCCTGGAGCCTGTTTCCGATTCTGTGTCTCCCTCTCTCTCTGCCCCTCCCCCGTTCATGCTCTGTCTCTCTCTGTCCCAAAAATAAGTAAATGTTGGGAAAAAAAATTAAAATAAATAAATAAATAAAATAGCCTTAAAGTGAGGGTTGCCTGGGTATGCCAACAACTTTATCCTAGAAGTCTTCCCCTGAAATTTCCTATGCCCATTCAAAGGGTCTGACAGCGTTCTGGATGCCATTCGATAAGGATTAGCCATAAGACCTAAAAAGTTGAGCTATTTTTTTAAAGTTTTTTTGAGAGCGAGCTCTTGCAAGTAAGTGGGGGAGGGGCAGAGAGAGAGAGAGAGAGAGAGAGCGCGCGATCGAATCCCCAGCAGGTTCCGTGCTGTCAGGGCAGAGCTCAACACAGGGCTTGATCTCGCACACTGTGAGATCATGACCTGAGCAGAGATCAAGAGTCGGCCACTTAACTGACTGAGCCACCCAGGTGCCCCAAAGGTGAGCTATTTTTAAACTTCTAGTTTCCCCAAATGGCTCCTTCTCTTCAAATTAGTGCTAGAATTCTACCTTCCCTCCTTCTCTCCTGCCCGTGAAACCTTTCCATCTCTTCCAATGAATAGTATTGAAATTTCTGACCTATTATGGTGTACCCACCACTGTACCTACATCATATCAAACAGAAGGTTTTAAAGGCCTTTGGCATATCAGGGTCAATGTCTCCCACCCACACGGGTTATGTAATTGGCCTTCCTCTCTTTAGAGACCCAGAGCCTTGTGCTAAATAGGAATTGAGAAAGGACTGTGGATATGGGGAGCGAGTGTAGGGGTGGGGTGAACAAATAGGTTACCTCACACAAACAGAAAATGAGCTCCCCTTTGCACTAGGAAACTCACCTTAGCTTCCCACTCAGTCCATCTCAGTCCCAATTAAATTTTAATCCAAACCATCATAAATGCAAAGTGCTTTCTTCAAGCTCCTTTATTTCTGGAGCTCCGTGGCGCCCCGTTTAATAAGTGCTTCAGGAGAAGACGTCTGGCAAGGACTGGGTATTGACTTTGGAAAGGGGAGTGTTCACATCCCCAAGTATGTCACTGATAAGTTACTGGAAAGCAATCCCAGCCCTCCAGTTTGCTTGTTTATGTGGCTCAGGCACCTTGCACCAAACCTCAGCCCAAATTCAAGTTTCACATGGGCAATGGCTGCCATTCAACATGTTTGGCTCTTGTCTTCAAAAGGATGTCAACAGACAAAATCTGCCCACGGTTGCTCTTCATTCGGAAGTATATTCATATGGACATTCATTCCACAAGCACATACTGAGAAGCCTTGTGCTAGGCTTGGGGGAATGGAGACTTGGAGTCTTTGACTTTAAGGGCACCCAAGGTGTGCAACCAGATTACCATAGTAGCGATAGGAGTCTATGAAAGTAGAGGCATGTACAGAAACGTATTAACACAGGAGAAGTAGTGTCTTGCTGCCTGGGAGAACTGGAAGAAGCATCAGAGGAGGTGACATTGACCTGGGTCTTGAATGACGCACCGGAACAGGGACAGCCGAATTGGACAGTTGAAATTTAATTTCTCCTCTCTTGAGAGTTGCACTTCAAAAGCTGTTGGTTTTCATGGGCACAGAAAGCGGGCTGGAGGCCCGGAGGTCTACTGGGGGCCTTGTCTACTGTTGTAGTAGAGAGCGAGAACGGAGAAGAGTTTAGGACGGCTGAGCCAGAGGGAAGGACTCTGCTGGGCAGATGGGGATTACCAAGGAGAAAGGAAGGAGCTCGAGGCCTCACCCCGCCCTTTTGCTTGGGCGGCATTCATAGATTTACTAGTTGCTGATGGCTGCCAGTATGTCCCTGGGATGGGAACCAGCTGTCCAAAAAGGCCAGTGGGAACAGTTGTTGGCACCCTGTTCATCTGGCTCCACTCGGCATCCTGAAGACATGGCGTGCTTCACACACGAACCTCACTGCAACCACCTCCTTGACTTCACATCTTGAAATAACTCCTCATCACTGGATGAGTATTTTAAGACACAACTCTCATCAAGAAGTTTCCATTAAAGCAATTCCAGTAGAGTGAATAACCATTTCCCCCCGCTCATCAGACATGCTTGTCTTACAGAATCATGAGTTCAATTCTCACTTTTATAGCCCTATCTCAAAAAAAAAAAAAAAAAAAAAAACACCTCAGAGCAATGATCTTACATTACATCTGTGTCAAAAAAGTTTCCCTCTGCATTTTCAGATCATCTTTTCTGGGTCAGCATTTCTCTTTCCTTATCACAGTTTTTTTTTTTTTTAACTTCCTGTTCCCTATCAAGCTTTACATGAACTCATTTTGTCATTTCTTAAGCAATTCAGGAGTGAACCTTTCCCCTTTTTGAAGGCCAGTAATTTCAGTAATTTTTCTACACCTTCTTACTCACTGTATATGTGCAAAGGTCAGAGCTACTGAAAATGTTTTGACAACCCTCAATTATTTGCACTTAAGGGGTCGACTAGAGAAGGGCACTGCATAAATTATCAGCAAAATGACATTAAAGCAATCACATATAATACCCATGGCATACATTCCCCATTTGTTTATTTGCCCTTCGAATGTACTTAAGATCTTGTTTTCAGCACACTAAGCTGCTTTCATTTGCAATTCTTATCCACATAGTAGACGGGCAACAGAGTTTCCATTGGATAACCCATCAGCCAGTGGGTGACTGAAAGCTAGAATAATATAACTCTTCTCTAACGAGAACAGCTTGTCATGAAGAAAGGCTAAATACACAGTCTTGTAGTTAAGGGAAGAAACAAAAGCCTAGACAGATAGGAAGGCCTGTTCCACCAACCTGACTCACAAAGACCTAGACTTTATTCCTTTATTTATTCAACATTTCTTGAGCACCCAGTAGAGGATAGGTGTTGGAGATCAAAGAAGTAAAAGACATCGTCCTATGTTCTTTGGGTTCTGTAAATGAACACACAGCTTAATGGCTACCCAGACAGATCTATGAGGCCTTGGTGGCAACAATTAACTCCACTGTGTTGCACAGAGAGCTATTTGGGCTGGATATAGAAAAGTGTGTAGAGAACATGTATGTGTGGAGAAGGGGGAGCAGTTTTCCGGGCAGAGGGGCCCAGCATGCGCAAAGACAAGGAAGGAAACAACGTATTGAGGGGGAGAGAGAGTTCAGGGTTGTTGAGATGTAGGGGGCCTGGGAGGAAAATGGCAGGGTTGAGTCTAGAAGGGCGGATTTGGGCACCACCATGGAGCACCTCGGATGCCATGTGGAAAAGATGATATCTTTCAGCTAACAGGGAGTCCGAAGGCTTAAGCAGAGGTAATACGGTCAAATCTAAGTTCTAGAATAATGACCCTGCCAGCAGTGAGGATGGTGTACAAGAGGGAGGAAAGGCTAGGGGAAACCAGAGTGGACTCGACAGGTGAGAAACAGTCTGGCCCGAGTCAGGGGAGCATGCGGATGGAGCAGAGGAAGTGCAGTCAGCCTCACTCAGGATGCCTTGGTTCCTGCTTGAGGACTGGGCATGAGGAAGATGAGGGAAGCCGTGAGTGTTTCCTAATTTCTGTTTATCTCACTGGTATGGCCAGTGTTTGACGTGGACAGTTACAAGCTAACATCTGCTAAAGCACAGCCTCGTTCCACGTTTCTGACCTTTTTGTCTGGGGACTTGTACGGGGCTTAGGCTTTTAGCTCTTTCTTCTTCAATTCAACAAACATCGTTGGCACCGTGAAGGATGAAGAGCTGGTCTTCTTCCTCAAGAAGCTCATAATAAACTCATGGAGGAGGAAGACCTGTAAAACAGTAAATATTAACCAAGGCTGAGTGAAAACCAAAGGGCTATGAGGGCATAGAAGAAGCCGGGGGGGGGGGGGGGACTCGGGAGGATTTCACACCGGGGGTTTGCACCAGGCTGTTCGTTTTTACTGAGCATCTATCACATGCCATGTAGGTCTCAGGCACTGAGAAGAGCAGTCAAATACATATACATGAGAAGGAGGAAGAAAAAACACTAAATAAGGAATTATAAGCAGGGTGAATACTGGAAAAGAGAAATACGGGCTGTCATGAGAATACACAACGGAGAGATTAGTCTGAGGTATCAGGGAAAGCAAACCCAGAAGGTTTAAGCTGAGACATGACAGGTGAGTAGAGATACCAGCGTAGGGGAATGTTCCCGAAGAGAGAAGTACGTGTCCGCTTGCTCAGTGGTGGGAAGATGAGGCATGTTCAAGGAACTGAAAGAAATCTAATGTGAATGGCACATAAGAGCAGGGGGAGTGGCCTGAAGGAAGGCCGGGAGGGGCCGGAATAGATCACACAGCCTTATTTACCAGGTTAAGGTTCTGGAGATTTATCCCAAAGGGTATAGGGAGCTGTCGAGGTTGTAAGCAGAAGAGTGGTGAGATTACTGCATAACTGGAGAATACATTGCAAAGGGCAAAGCTGGAAGGAACAGATCTGTTAGGACAGACACACCGTTGCCGTAGTCAGATGGGTGACGGTGGGTTAGCACCGAGAGGGGACGGCAGATTGGAGAGAACAGGTGTGTGATTTCGGAGGCAGACCTGGACAGGACTTGGCGATTAATTACATCTGAGAAGGAAGCAAGGGCGGAGAAGTCAAGGTTGATCTGGAGCTTATAACTTGGGAAGTTGGGTGGATGGTGTGGCATTAACCAAAAGAATCTGGAAAGAAGCAGGTTGGGAAGGGGGCAAGGCGAGTTTGGTGTTTGAATACACGAGGTTTCGGTACAAGCAAGGTGTTCAAGTACTGATTATACCTTCCAGGACATGTGATGGAAGCCCAAAGGTTAAGAAGGAGAAAATGATGGTACCTCGGGACTAGGGCAACATTGGAATGGAGAGGTGGGACTTTTAGCCCAGCGAATGGCTCAGATCTCCTCCAGAGAACGCACAGAATGTGTAAAGGAAAACCGCACAGAGTCTCTGGAGGAATACCAGCAACCAAAGTGCCTGCAGAGGAGTCGAGCTTACAAAGGACGCTGAGAAGGTATAGCTAGGGAAATCCGAGGAAAAACCAAAAGTGGAGGGTCAGGGCAGTAAAAAACAGAGAGCGGCGAAGGGAGCGTCAGTGACGTGAAATGCTCATGAGAAGTCACGAGAGACTGAAACGCGAAAAGCCCGGTGGACCAGACCCTAGTGACCCAGATTCTCACTGCTACTTACTGAGTGACCTTAGACAAGTCACTGAATTTTACACGGAGCCTCGCCTATACTTGGGCGTGATTGTTCCGTATTCAGATCAGCATCTAAAGGCTCAGTAAACAGGGGCCGTTAATTTTCACACTGTTTCTAGAGCCGGTTTTAGCGGCGAGGCGCCAAAGTGCAGTAGCTTCTAGTAAGAAAAGTGAGATGGAGGGTGGGGGCGGATCATTGGGGTGTGAGGAGGAGTTCGCAGGGAGCAAGAAGGGGAAGGTGCAGCAGAAGATGCCTTGGTTTTCGTGGGGATAAAGGGAACGACACTGGACAGGCATGAGCCAAAGAAGCTGGCGGGAAGTATGACGGGACCGCGGTCAAGTGTGATGGCTGCGAAGAGGCAGGACGAGTTACGGGGGGAGCGGAGCCTGTAAAGAATGTACCATGAATGGAGTTGGCGTCTCTGTTTTTGTTTTATGAATGTAGGGGAACCGCTGACAGTTTTAAAGGAATACGTTTAGCTCACCTTGTTTCAGGAAAATTAACAGAAGAGGGAGGGAGGGACGGACCCTAGCGGAGAAGGATTTAGGGAAAAGCTATCCACACTGTGATTGTCGACGGAAGAGTTTTAAGACGGAGCAAAAAACCACTTGGGAGCGTGCGACCTTGCCTCGGTCATTTAACCTGGCTGAGACTCAGTTTCCCCATCAAGAGAGTGGGGGTGGTACTGTCTACCTCTAAGGTTCTTTGGCGCATTATATTTTATGTCAAGCGTCCAGGATGGTGGTTAGCGTACAATGAACTCTTCGGTCAATGTCCTTCCCATTCCCGTCCTGCCTCCCCTCCCACTCTTGGTAGCGTACCCGAAGGCCTTGCTCTCGCCTGATTTTCAGGAGAGCTGGTTTTGCTTCCTGCGGTTCTGTACTGTACTAAAATTAAACAACAATCTCGTCTTCCAAAAAGTTTCCTTTCCAGAAGAGGGCCAATGTGTCATCCCCGCTCCCTCCCTGATTTGGAGGATTGACGTGTTTCACGTGCTTTGTACCAATGTGTCTTGATGCACGGATGCTTGTGTTTGGGGCTGGGCAGCGGCTCAAGGGGAGCCCTTTCCCATAAAGCCGCGAAGGCATTTACCTACAAGATGGAGAACACATCCTTCCTGGAAAGCGAGCAAAACCCCGAAACCATTCCCCTCATTTTTCTCCCAGTTTCTCTTTTTCTCCTGTCTTCCACGACATCTGGTTTGGTTCAATTCATTTCCAGCCCGAAATAACTGGTTTCTGGAAAAGATGTAACATGGATTACATTTCTCTAAAGCCATATGCTCTATACATCCTGGCATCCATGCAGATGTCACTTGATTCCATTTTGTTTTATTCATTCAATAAATATTTATTGAGTGTCTGCTTGGGCGCTTGGCATCCATAGTGCAAAGAGGAACAACATTCAGTTCTGCGTTCTAAATGGTCCCAGGTTTTGCGGCAAAGCAAGACCCAAAGACATAATAGGTTCGGTCGATTACGGCTCAGTTAAGTAGGAGCTACCGACCAGCTTCAAAGTGGGTGGGGGATGGGCAGCTACAAGAAAATACTTCAGGGGCACCTGGGTGGCTCATTTGGTTAAGCATCTGATTTTGGCTCGGGTCATGATCTCACTCTTCATGAGTTCAAGCCCTGCATCGGGCTCTGGGCTGACAGCTCGGAGCCTGGAGCCTGCTTTGGATTCTGTGTCTCCCTCTCTCTCTGCCCCTCCTCTATTCACAGTCTGTCTGTCTCTCTCAAAAATAAACATTAAAAAAAAAATCTTTTTTAAAGAAAATACTTTAGCAAAACTGATATTTGAATGGACTCCTGATGTGAGAGCTTCATTTTCCCAGGTGAAGAAAAAGGGGACGGGCTTTCCTGACCTGTCTTCTCGAGGAACCAGCATGTAATTTGAAAGAGGACGTTTGGCCCCGAGAAGTGTGAATCATTTGCTGTTCCAGGATGAGAATGCCCACAAAATGTTCACTGAGAGTCCAGTATGGGCCAGGCAGGGTGCTAAGTGCTTTGTTTTAGTTCGTTTGAGTCCCAGAACAACCTTAAGAGGCAGGTCCCACGACTGCCCCCATCTTACACGGGAGCTAAGCGATGCTTAGAGGGCTTGAGTAACTTGCCCGCAATCACCCGATGACACAGCAAAGATCTGAACTCAGACCATCCTACTCGAGGGTCTGTGGACTCTGAAGCATCGTGGCAGGCGAGCTGGGCGCTGGCTCCTGCGGGCAGTGGGGTAGCAAAGTGGAAGGCAGAGTGGGGGATGATGCCTCTGGGGGGATGAGGCCAGATGTGGCATTAGTAGATTCATCTTTGCATGTTTATTTTTTTATAAAAATGTAACTGCATTCCTTTTAAAGTGAGATAGGACCCTCTTTAGACACACTGGTTTAAGTTTACTTTTATTTATTTTGAGAGCGAGTGGGGAGGGGCAGAGAGAGAGAGAGAGAGAGAGAGAGAGAATCCCATGCAGGCGCCACGTTGTCAGCACAGAGCCTCATGCGGGGCTCGAACCCACGAACCGTGAGATCACGACCTGAGCCGAAATCAAGAGTCCGACGCTTAACCGACTGAGCCATCCAGGTGCCCCCACGCATGTTTTCAGCATGTTTTAGTGGGAGATAATTGTGTAAATGAGACAGGAGGTTTGGGATAAGAGACCTAACTTAAAAGCTTGTTGTTCTTAGAAATTTTGGTTCCTACATACTTGCAAACAGCATCCTGAGACCCTTGATTTTCAGTCATCAAAGTAAACCCCAATGAGGTAGAAAAGTACTTCTAAGTCGTTTACTGTTTTCAGCTTAAAAATGATCAAATGTATTCTCCAATTAAAAATCAAGGAATAAAGATAGGCTTTAGCCTCCAGTTAGTTTAAGGACGAAAAGTTGTGACGGGATTCAGATTTCTACAAGAAACTTGCACAGAAAAAAAAAAAATCTGTTCCATTTACTCTCCTTTCATAGAATATTTTCATGCTCTGAGTTTTGTTTTGTTTTGTGTTTTGCCTCCTAGTGAATTTTAAGAATCATGAATTTGATTGTGGTACAAATATATTCATGAAATGTTTCAAAAAGGAAATGAACCCAAACAAAGAAATCGACCACAAAAATAGCACACTGGTGCTGGTTGTTTACTAATAAACAAACATCAGGTTCACGGCACAGTTCAGCTGATGTGTGTGGTGAGAGATCAAGCCCCTTGCTTTCAGATCTAACTCCGTTCGTATGGTGGTTTTTCAACCTCCCAGTGCCCAGGACCTGCGTTGGTAATCGAATACTCCAGATTGGAGATCTTCGTTAGTCCCCCAGTAGGCGTGTTGATCTCTTTGGATGATGAGGCTCCGTGACGCTTTGCTTGGAAAAGCACAGACCTATAGCAAGGAGCCCAGCTGTTCCCCTTCCCTCCCACAAGGCCCCAGGAACGTGAACTTGCTGAACTTGGGTGGCCAGGCTTTTGGAGTGAGCAGCCCAGTTTCTTTTCCCTCCCACGGGTTCTGCTTCCTGGACCCTTTTGCTGACCGGCGAAACCAGCCTTGAGCAATTCCTTGGTGTGTGACCCAACCCAGTTCTTCTAGGACAACCGTCCTCCCCTCTGGCCCAGATCTTTTCGCCACCCACACAAGCTGGAGTTTAACCTCTCCTGTCAGACACGAGAGCACAACCTTGAGAAGGCGCTCCCCACCCTCGTCAAAGACTGTGATGACAGACCCTCAGAGTTGGGTGGGACCCAGGGTCCTCTCGGGCGTCTGCTTTCTCACTGTCGGTCAGCAAGGCTCTAGGGTCATGGTCTCTGGCCTCAGGGAGCCCTGAAGCCTGGAAGGGTCAGGAGAGGCTTTTAAGAAAAGGACGGGACTTCGAGAAAGAGATTTGGAGAGCATTCCAGACAGGGGAAGGGAAAGAGGCCAAGGAGAAGAGCAAGAAATCCTCCCGGGTTCAGGAGACTCTCATTTGAGTCTTGAAGATCTCCAGGCAAGGAAATTCCAGGGCTTCCCCTGAGTCGAACCCATCCTTTTTCCTGTGACCCGCGACGTCCCCTTTTATGGGTCCCGGCTGTTCAATCTGTGAAACCTGAAAGGGGAGGGCGCCAAGAAAAGGAGGTTGTGGTCTGACAGAAACGCTAGCCTGGCGGAAAAATCCAGCCTGCTCTTTTTTTTTTTTTTTTTGTCCCCTCCTGTCTCCTTCCAGCCACTGGCATGCTATCACCAGATTTTATTGTCCTGGGCTGGCCACAGCCTGTGGACACCCCTCCTCTGCCCTCCAGAGCACCCTGTGGCAGAAGCACAGCATGCAGCTTCCTCTGCAAGGTCACTGCTGAGGGAAATGATGATTTTTTTAACCCCTTCTCCCAGAGAGCCAGAGAAAGCAAAGCCCCTAGAAATGTCATTTGCCCCTAGAAATGTCCTCTTACCGTGGCTCCCTCTCCGTCTTTCTCTGTAAGTTGTGGAAATCACCCCCAAGCTCCTCAAGGCAATTAAACTGTGGAAATGGACCTACCCCCTTCCTGGTGCCAGGCCGGCTAGGATTTGTGTGTGTGTGTGTGTGTGTGTGTGTGTGTGTGTGTGTGTGTGTGTGGTTTCCTCTATGTGCACATAGACGTAGGAGAGACGGGGTAAAGCTGGTGCCCCCGTGGCCCAGGCTGTGCCTGGTTGTTCGCCACGCCAGCCCGTGGGTGTGCTTTATGCCCTCTCGCCTTTCGGCCCTTCTTACCTTCACTCTTCTCCCCGGCTGTTCTCGCGTCCCTGGCCATCTTAGACACACCTTGGGTTCAGAGCCAGGTAGGAGATAGCAGTTGGGACTTCCTTGAAAGTGAAGAGTCTGAGATCAGAAGGTCTGCTTCTGGAACGCCGGCACACGTGGCTTACTTACTCTCTTTGCTCCCAGCTTCCCCCTCTGTAAAATGGGCATGCCGTTTGCAACCTCGGGGAGCTGTCCTGAAGATAGAAGGACACGCTGGTGATGAAACAACTTTGCAAAACGCGAGGTGCCGCGAGGAGCTGAGACTAGAAACCCTGGCGAATTGCATGTTAGAGTGGGGTGGGGACAGGGCATCAGACAGAATATTCCACTGCAAAGGGGCATGGCCGAGTTAAGTCGCAGAGGGCCTCAGGGGCCAGGGACAGCGGCCCTCAGGAGTCAGTCCTGGAGGGCTCCCGAGGAGGTTTCCTCAGAAGGGACTCTGCGCTGGCAGACAGGAAGGCATAGGGTGCTCCCTTCTTCCTCACAGAAAACCCCTGCCCCAGGGAGAGATTCGTCTTTGTTGCTGCCTGGCCCGCTGAACAGCCCCAGCCGGGCCCCAGACCGATGCTGCTTAGGAGCTGGGCTGGGCCCGGGGCCTTTCCTGTCCGTGGAGACCGGCGCCAGGGACATCTCCCGCCTGAGTCCCGCCTATGCACCTGGGCCCCTTTGCAGCAGCTCTCCCTTGGCCGACTCCTCCCCTCTCCGCACAGAGGCTTCCTGTTTTGAAATCACCAATAAATGGAAAATGTGAGTGCTGTCACTTTAACAGCTCAGGCTGCGTGCGTGCGTGTGTGTGTGTGTGTGTGTGTGTGTGTGTGTATGAGCATGGGTGCGTCGCACCCCCTGGGGAAGGCAGCTGAGGTGGAGGGCTCGCCCCCACAGGGGATGCCAGTGCTCCTGCCCTCCCAGCACACCCGGCTGCCTGCGTAACCAGAGGAAGGCACGCTGTGAGATCAGTGTCTGTGAGCCTGCCCAGGAGGGCTGCTGGGGCCTTTCCTGTCAACTGGAGAACTCCTCTCTCAGCTTGTAGAAAGATCTTTTTATTTATTTTATTTTATTTTTTATTTTATTTTACATTTATTTATTTTTTGAGAGACAGAGAGAGAGAGACAGAGCTTGAGCAAGGGAGGGGCAGAGAGAGAGGGAGACACAGAATCCGAAACAGGCTCCAGGCTCCGAGCTGTCAACACAGAGCCCAGTGCGGGGCTCGAACTCATGAACGGTGAGATCATGACCTGAGCCAAAGTCAGATGCCTAACCGACTGAGCCACCCAGGCGCCCCCCTGCATTTTACATTTATGTACAAACTACAGTATTATTTTTTAAAGTCTATTATTTAAAGAGACAATAAGAATAGTTATATACATAACCTAAAGTATTATTTTGCAAAAAAAAAAAAATTATTTTGCAACCTTTAACATTGCTTGTAGTT